TTTTATATTTATGATTACGATTAAGAATGAAAATAAACTATATCAGACTAAGTTATATTATAATTTAATAGGTTTAAACCTAATTTTTCTTCTGTCATAGACATTTTTTAAATATTTTGTTAAAACTACACTCTTACAGACCTATTTTATAATAATTTAACACTAATAAAAATATATAAATAAATATTTTAAATTGTATAAAAATCAAGTTTAATTTATTTATGATATAAATATATTTTTAATATCTTATATAATTTTTCAGATGATTTATTTTAAAATATATTTTATAATAAAATTCTAAATAGAACATAAATCTTCCAGTTTTTTCTATTTTAATTTTTTTAATCAACGTTGTAAAGATAAACAAAGGAATGAAATAGATGCTGAAAGATATATTGAATTATTATCATCAACATGAATTATAGAGAATGATTTAAAGACCTTATATAAGCTACACGTAACAGAATAATCTTATCATAAACAATGACAGCTAAGATAACTAATCATAGCTAAACTAATGATTTTATCATAACAGAATTAGTTTTAATCTAACTAACTTTATTATCCTTAACATCCCCCCTCAAACTTATGTCACATGATGAAGTGACCATAAGTTTGCGTCGAAAACTCTCAAATGGAAGGCCAGTGATGGACTTTGTAAGAATGTCTGCAACCTGAAATTGTGATGGTAGATGAAAAACCTGAATGGCTCTAGTAAGCACCTTATCTCTTACAAAGTATAGATCAAGTTCAAAATGTTTAGTTCGGGAGTGCATAATGGGGTTAGCAGCTAACATCACAGCACCAAGATTGTCGCAGTAGATTGTTGGAGTAGCAGTATTCACTTGAAGTTCACTAAGAAGTGATTGGATCCATACAATTTCAGTAGTAACAGCAGCTAAACCCCGATACTCAGCTTCGGTACTACTCCTAGAGACAGCACGTTGCTTTCGTGATGACCAAGACACAAGATTGTTTCCAAAGTACACACAGTATCCAGTTGTAGACTTTCTATCATCCAAGTCAGAACCCCAATCGGAATCCGAGAAGGCCATTAAGGTCAGATTAGTTGCTCTTCTGAAGTGAAGACCATGAGTGACAGTCCCTTGTAGGTATCTCAGTATCCGTTTCACAACCTTCCAATGATGTTCTTGAGGATTATGCATAAATTGACAGACTTTTAATGGAAAAGGACAATTCTGGTCTGGTGATGGTGATGTATTGGAGGCCACCTACAATTGATCTATAAAAGGAGGGGTCGGGAATAGATGTAGAGCCATTGGCAGTGAGTTTTAGACCAGAAGTCATAGGTGTAGGTTGTGGTTTAGAATCATCCATCTTGGCTCTATGAAGTAAATCTTGAATATACTGTTTTTGAGAAAGAAATAAGCCTCCATCAGAAGTATAGGATACCTCAATACCTAAGAAATGATGAAGAGGGCCAAGATCTTTTAGGCTAAATTTTGTGTGCAGGGTAAGAATTAATGAATTCATCTCAGCTTGCGAGCTGCCAGTGATTATTATGTCATCCACATAAATCAAAAGTAGGATGGTGGATGTGGAAGTATTCCTTACAAATAAAGAAGTGTCACTCTTAGTTGGACGAAATCCCACTAGTACAAATGACCCCTTTTACGTCGGGTATTTGAAGCCTTTTACGTCGAATCCCAATTCTCACCGAGACAGGCACTCAGGGTCCTCTCGGCAGATTGAATTTCCGTGTCGCCTTTGTCCACCTCGGCGGCCACGACAGTCTCCAAGTTAACCACCGATATAGACTTATGTGTGTATGTATGTATATATATATATGCTACCAGGGAGAGTACAACATACTAACATGTCACTGAGATAACAAGAAATATATATATATAAAAATTTCAGACCCAAATCCCAAGAGTACAATATTTAAAATTAAGATAAAATTAAGTTTTATTCTTGGAATAATTAAAATCAAATACTTATAGGTATCTAAAAAAAATTACAAAAAAAATATATCAAATAATCAGAAAATTAATTATTTAAATTTTTTAAATAAAAATAAAAATTTTCTGGCCAAAATAGGGGTCTCATGTGCCCCCAGGTGTTTGGCCCGGCGAGTGGGTACGCATGTGCGTTACTATTCATCTTCTCCTTCACTTAAAAAATAGAAAACGGGTCGTTCGACTCATAACAAAAACTCAGCGCAAAACCACCATTACAGGCAACGACAGACTACGATTTTTTGACCAAATGATTGCCCATTCACGGCAATCCAAAACCCCTTATCAATTTCAGGTTTAATCGATTCAAAGAAAACAAATTTAAATCTAAGAAATTGGGGTTTTGAAGATATCCGCGACGAAAAGAGGCAAAAAATTTGTCAGATTTTTCAATCAATTCTTTCTCAAAATGTGCAGATTTATTCAACATCCAAAGGTAGATAAAAGTCCCCAATCAATTGCAATGAATAATCATCAAAAAAATGAGGAAAAACGAATCTAAATTGTTCACTAAATAGAACAAGCTCAAAAAAAATTGCATAAGGTTTGAAATACATGTAGAAAGAAAACTCCTTTGACAATTTGTTCAATTGATGAATATAATCTGAGTTGCCATTTTCGAATGAAGAAGAAAATAGTTTATGTTATTTGAAATGAGAATCGAACTTGATAAATGACATTTGCAATACTCGTACAATATTTACACATTAGGACAAATATCCTTCAATAAAAATTCCTAATTTTTTTTAATATATAACAATGTGAGAGAAGACTGCTCTCTTCCTGGTAGGAGATGAAAAGGTAGAAAACAAAATGTATTTCATCATATAAACTGACTAATGGGGTATCAGTTCTATATCCTTATCAGTAGAGACCAGGGACCTCTCAACGGGCTACTAAACAGTCCAATCTATCATGGACCATTCATCAGAAGCCCAATATGCATTACCCATAAATTAATAATAATGTGCAATATAATTGATATTAACATATAAATATAATTTATTAATTAATGTTAATCCATAATAGTAATAATAAAATAGAGAATAATTATATAAATAAATATATAAATATAACATTCTCCCACTTGGATAACATTAATCAATAAATTAAATATATCAATTATAACACAAGTACATATATCAATTAACAATATAAGAAATATAAACATGAACCACAAAGATAGTTTTGCGAGAGTAGTTTTCAAACTTTTAAGGAAAGATCGACTAGTGCACTAGTGTTAGCATTGGTTGATCTTAGTAAAATTTTTGTGGTATAGGTTGATCCTTCTAAGATAGGTTTGGACAGAGTGTTGATGCAAGAAGGAACAATAGTAGCTTATGCTTCTAGGAAATTGAGAATTCATGAGAGGAATTACCTTACCCATAACCTTGAGTTAGCAATTTTGTCATTTATACTAAGATTTGGAGACACTACCTATATGATTCTAAGCTTGAGGTATTTAGTGATCATAAGAACCTTAAATATCTTTTGACCAAAAGGATGTTATAGTTCTTTTTTTCCTTAAGATATCACATCTCTTCTATCAATAAAATTTAAATAAAAAATTATTTGACAATAAATTTATCATAAGTTAGAAATATATATTATAAATATGGATCAAAATAAATAATAAATTTTAAAAAATTCTTATACTCTAATTAAAAAAATGCCTAAAAATCCAATCTAAAAAAAAACCTCTAAATATTTTTTCACATAAATAACTATTGGTATTAATTATGTAGGAGTGCATATAAATATTTTTTTATTATGAATTCATGTCTTGCTCTTACAAAAAAAGAAAATGGGATTTGATACTCATCAACAATACTATCATCACTTTTAAGCAATTTGTAAACTTTTTTAAGTTTTATTTACCGATTAAATAGAATTCTGTCGCTAATTTTAACTAATATTTAGCGATCGAATTCAATTTCGTCGCTAATTTTAATTAATCTTTAACGACCGAATTAAATTTTGTCGCTAATTTTAACTAATATTTAGCAACAGAATTCAATTCTCTCGCTATTTTTAACTAATATTTAGCGACCAAATTGAATTCTGTCGCTAAAAAAATCAAAATTTCTTATTTAGCTACCGAATTCAATTCCTTCGCTAATTTTAACTAATATTTAACGACCGAATACAATTCTGTCGCTAAAAAATCAAAATTTCTTATTTAGCGACTGAATTCAATTCCGTCACTAAATTTAACTAATATTTAGCACCGAATTCAATTCCGTCGCTAATTTTAACTAATATTTAGCGACCGAATTTAATTTCGTCGCTAATTTTAACTAATATTTAGCGATAAAAATAAATTTTGTCGCTAATTTTAACTAATATTTAGCGACCGAATTCAATTCTATAGTTAAAAAAATCAAAATTTCTTATTTAGCGACCGAATTAAATTCGGTCGCAACAAAGCTTCAATTTCTTGATCGTGGCTTGTGTATGGGACGCATAGTAAACCTCTAAACGCTTCCAGATTTGAAAAGAGGTTTCCAACCCAACCATCTTTGTCAAGATATTGGGGTGGACATTGAAGCCAGAAGCCATGCCGTCAATAGTTGATCTTGTTGCACATGATGCTCGTAATCTTGACTTAGGGTGTTGCTTGCTGCATCCTCTGTTATCGCGAATTTTGCTGGAACATCACTACTAGTGATGAATTTCTGAAGCTTCATTCCACGAATACTGGCAAGAACTTGTTGCTGCCATAACAAAAAAATTTCATCGTCTAATTTGATTGCAATTGGAGTATGGAAAGTTTGCAGGTTGAACGATTTTTGTGTAGCGGAAGACATGTTTGATGGATCTCACTGTAAAAAACATGAATGTTTGTGCAATAAATAAAAAACATAAAAGGTAAACATGAATGTTGCAAATTTTATTTTATAAAAAATAAATTTTTAATATATTATATTATATATGTAAGCATTAATATATATATAAATATCATAATTAAACTTTAAAAAAAATAGATTCATTATTATGGAGTATTTCTTATCACATATGATAACTAATCTCCTTTAAAAATTTGACAAATATCAAATAAATAAACATCTCTTCCAAATTTATATTTTATAAATACGATAATTTAAATATATATTTATTTTATTAAAATAATCTTTATTTAAAAAAAATTGATAAAAAATATATATATTATAAAATAGTAGTGGGGGCAAGTGCCCCCTCTCTCATGCATGTAGATACGTCTCTGTATATATATATATATATATATATATATAATATAGGGGAATG